GCCGTCCGTGGGATGGTGAGGGGTCGTGACCTCCGATTGGGGACACACTCACCGTCCCGACTCTGGTGGTAGAGGTGGAGCAGGTTCCGAAGTCACGTTCGGAAATTCTGTGTGTGTTCCTTGAATATCCGGGTCTGGCGCTCCCAGTACTCCGGCCCCTCCTGCTCTACCCACTGAACCAGCGGCCTGGCTCTCAGAGTTTCCGCTTTGCCATGGAAGCGCAGGAACTAGGAGTTGTCCCCGTAGCCAATAGCAAGGTACCGGGGCTCCCCGAGGCCGGGCCGCGACACTATGGTGTGAGCCTGGGGGCGGCGCGCGGTGAGATCCCAGCCCTCCTCTGGGGACCCCTGGCAGTTGCGCAGGCCGGGAGGTGAACAGCGTGCGCGGCACCATCGCCCCATCTCAGATCTGGGGCGTCTGACTTCCGCGGGCTGCGTGGACTTTATAACCCGTGACCGCGGCGACGCTGGTTGGTTCTCAGGGATGTCGGCATCCAATGGGGGTGCGAACAGTACAGTTGTCATCAGTGTCCGGGCAGAAGGACCCGACACAGGTCAGGAGCTGGAGAAGTGAAACTGGGGACATGGGGAAACCTCACAGCCTGGGGACTGAGACTTTCCGAAAACACTTAAAATTGCAATAAAATGATAAGAATACTGCCCTACAATAGCTTCGGGCAGATGGAAAGGCAGGATAATTCCTCCTCTTTGAAAGCTGGGGATTCAGCTCAGAGTCCTATGAACTCCACAGGGGGATTGTCAGTTACCTGCTGCTTTGTTTCAAACCAGCCAAGTTCAGCATCTGGAGACACCAGCCATTCATTACTTCCCACAGTGTGTGACCCCAAGAGTCCCTGAGTGATCCTGGCTCAGGACCTCTCTCCCAGGTCACAGTTCAGTTTTCATCTAGCTGTGTTTTCTCAAGGCTTCAGGAGAGCTGGGGTCACGTGAGATGTGGCTTCCTCATAGGGCAGCTGGAAATGGCTCAGGTTCCTGCTGGCTGTCCCTAGGACTCCTTTGTCCCTGATTACCTAGGTCTCTCTAGAGACTGCTCTTGACATGGCAGCTGACTTCCCCAGAGCCAGTCATCAGAGGCGGGGCAGGGTGAGCAATATGCCCAATTTCCAGTCCCAGACCACAGCCCAACCCAAGCCTCTCTCCACCAGGGGGCAGGAGTGAGTAAGTCCTGAACACCCCAGAGGAGGAACTAATTTATCTCTTTAAGGGCAGAGATGAACCTGTGAACACACACAATAAAATCCAATGTTTCCTCAGCATCCTGTGAGTCAGAAGGAGATTTAGCTATCTTATTTTTTAAGGCTTTAATTTAAAAAAACCTTAACTGAAAAATTGGGACATCCATGGAGGATGTAAGAGTCGGTGTTCCTTGACATCTTCATAAGAAATGTCTTTTTTATTTAACTGATTTGTCACTTGCTCTTTTGGCAGACGTCAGATGAAGTGAACAAAACCACCTTGCTCTGGACAGTCACACCTTCTTGTTTTACTTTATACAAGCTGTAAACATATGTGAGTTAACAAAATTCTTGGCTGAAGACACATTCCAGAAATCTGACATACATGTTTCCAAGGCAGGATTAAAGAAAGCTAAGAAATTCTCAGTAGACCAGGAGCACATTTTTATTTATTTATTTTATTCAACTATACATTTTACATCCCTGTCTCACACACCCCCCATCTTCTTTTTCCAGTTCCCCTGACTCCCCCAGCTTCCAACCCCCAATCCCCTCCTCTTGTCTCCATCCAGGAAAGGCAGGTCTCTCATGAGTATCAATAAAACATGGCATATCAATTTACAGTAACACTAAGAACCTCCCCATGATTAAGGCTGGGCAAGGCGCCCACTATGAGTAGTCCCAAAAGCCATTAAAAGAGTTGGAGACAGCCCCTCCAGCAGCACATTTAATTTATTTCCTATATGCTGTTTTTAAATTACTGTCTGCTATTAAAAATCTTTTTTTCCTTTATACAAGTCTGTTTTGTTCACAAAATATAATATGTAACTAAAAATAATTTAATTTTTGAAAACAAGTTCATTTAATGACAATGTATATTTATAGTGAAGTTGTAATAAAATACTGGTGTTTAAACAAAGCAGTAGTTGTATAAAAATCATGATATAGCATGTAGAACTCATTTAGAAAGTTCATGGCTCCCAGCAGCACAGTATTCTGTCACAGCCTGAGAACATGATTGCAGGTTGACTGAGAACAGAGCAGAGTTCACAGTGAGGCTGGTGACACTCTTGTCCCTAAGCGCCTTAAGAACTGATGCTGAGAACCAACCCCTTGGGACTCCTCATAACCAGACTCTTTGGTTTCACAGAATGTCTACTGACCACTTACTTCATGGATAACTTAACTGGCAGAGACCTCACTGCAAACACTAGTGTTTCTAGAGACCAATTAAAATGAGAAGAGCCAGCATCTTTGATCTCCATTTGATGGGTGGAAGATAAATCGGTATTTTGTAGTAAAATCTTGTACAACAGCCAAGTCCTGAGG